TGAATTGTGTGGTTGGTTTTCATCTCCTCCTTCTGCATGGTCAACATGAGGGAATGTATTTGGGATTGGAGGTGGGAGGTGAGGTGGAAGGTTCCTGGGGACCTGACCTCGTCCAAGAGGCTGAGATGAGTTTCCAGCTCGAACTGACCTAGTATTAACCATGATAAGAGCAACAAGGGAGCCTTCAGTTTGGATTCCCACAGACGGCGCCAAAATGTAACTGCACCAAACCAGAAGTCCTTCTTCAGTCCGTATCTGCACTCCGGATTGACCTGCAAAGCCCCAAGGTGGGTCCTCGGGGTAAACACTCCGATGCTTAAGTCAGTAATAATCGGGGCTACCTTTAGAGCGGAGATAAAAGGAGTTTAGGGTTGGTTTCAATTACCTTTTTGACGTGGCCCTCTGGGGGGTATTTATAGGTTTCAATGAGGAACCCACGTGGCATGCCAAGCAAGATATTTGGGATTTGATGTGTATCTCCAGACGATTATTTCGAGAGCGGGAATTTGAGAGATATTCAGATGCAAGGATGCCCATCGTAACTGCTGTGCAGCTCATCATAAAGGATCAGGTACGGGCATGCCTACTGTTGTTGTCATGCAGCTACTTGAGCGGGAATCTTTGAATTTATCCTTCATTTCGATCATAAAGAAATTACTGTCATTCGTCCGAGGTTTGGCACCTCGGACTTGTCCTTACATCTATATATATATATATTAAAGCAGAAATCAGCAAGTGTGCCACATGTCACTTTTTCGAGCCTTTTTTAATATCCTCTTTTGTTGTCACGTATCAATATTTTAATTATTTGATAAATTTACCATTTTATTTTAATTTTTTTCTCCCCTTATCAATTAAATTCAGCCTATCATTTTTTATCATCCTTCATTAAATTCAATTTTAGCCTTGCATGCACTCTTCTTTTTCGTTCTTTTTTTTCTTTTTTCCAACCAACTAATCAAACTTTAATTACAATTTTTTATTTAAAAGATATATTTGCTAATTTATAATGATTTTAATTTTTTTAAAATTTTTACTATAGTATGTCTATCAGAATTTTTTATTATTTAATAAAAATTTAATTTTAAATCTTATATAAATAAAAATACTTTAATAAAATATATTATAAGTATATCAAGAATTTTTATAATGTCTATAATATTCTTTTATAATGTAATAGTTAAAATATTAAATTTTTATCAATAAATATTAATTAAATAAATTACTATGAAATTAAAAATGATAATCAATAC